TTTATCCCGCATGCCCTTTTTTAATGAGTTGATTCATTTTTTATTCTATACTGTAATGTTAAATGGGCTTTGCCTTCACGTATTAAAACAAAAAAGAAAGTATTCACGGAATATTTTAAAATTTTTAAAAACACTATATTGTTAACAGAGGTACGAGTTATAATATTGCAAACTTCCATGGAAAAATTGGGTCATTTTTCTATCTGATAATGTGCTTCGCGTTTAGTTAGAGCTCTCGTACTTTTACCGAAGCCAGCCTTAAATAAAATCGGAGTTTTAATCAATTTATTTAGTGTTTAAATTTCATATCAATATCTGCAAACACTTTTCATTTTAGAATCAGTTTTATGGGATTCACAAATGTACCCTATAATACTATTTCACAATTTTTTTTAAATTAGCAGTGAGATTGCTTGTTCAAATTCTCAACAAGTTAATATCAGCCAAAAAGCATCTGTATTTACTTTTGCTGATCATCACGCAAGAAAAATTTACTCTCATATCCTCCTCAGTCCCCTTGTATCACATGTGATACAAGAGCTTCATAATTTTTTGTAAGGGCTGAATTGCAAAAACAAACTTGAAACCGGTTGTATCACATGAGATACAAAGTTAAATACCTCATATAATTTCCTCGTTTAGTCAACAAATGGCAGTATCTGTGTCTATTATAGCGATTTCTAGTAGCGTCTCAGAATCAAAACAAGATGTTTGCACGTCGTCGAGAAGTAATTATTCTTTTTATTTATATACAAATATTAAACTATTTTTAAAATATGCTTTTTCTTTGTATATGTACTTTTTACTACTTAACAGCAAAAAAAGAAATTTTTACTGAAATATTAAATCATAATGACTTGTTAAATTTGTTTGTATCACATGTGATACATCCCTCCTAGCTTCTATAAATTAAAAATAATTTTTTTTTGCACTTTTTTACATCATAGGGATCAAAACAACTATTTAAGCACCTTTTAAAAAAATATCAAGCTTTTATTTTTGTCTCGGGTCTGAGGCGGATGTATATGTTGACTTAAATATAGAGAAAGTTTTCTCGCCATTTAGTTTTTCTGACAGTTTTGGAGGTCCACAAAAAAACTCTTTGTGGGCCACTCTTTGCCCACTCCTGCTTTTGACCATTATTTCGCAAACTTTTATGTATCACTCATCCTTTTTTGAAGAAAATTGTGTCACTATTTCCATGAAAAAGGTTATTGCTTCTTATTCCCCCTCCAAAAAGAGTTAATTATCCCAAAGTGTGTAATTTGGGGGTGGGCATTAAATCGATCGTGATCGACCGGTGGTTGATTGATTGATTGAATATTAACGTCGCACTGTTTAGCTACACGAGGGCTTTTGGCGACGGTCCACGTAATTTTGAACCATGGTCAAGTGACGTGGACGACACCTGAGCTGGCACCCCCCTCTCCTAACTACCACACCACACCAACGGGAGGACGTTTCAGCTCTCGACAGATTTAACGTGCATCGCTGCCCTACACGGCGGGTCTTTAGTGGTACTGGGCTCGAACCCGTGACAGATCGACCGGTGGACCACCAAGACATTTTGGGGTGACCACCTGAAGATTAGCAGTTAGTAGCTATATACTGAAATACCCAAGATTGGCTAATAGTATGTAGATTAAGTCTTTTTCTGGTTATAACTACGAGAACTAACTTCAGATGAAAATGCTTTATTTTTCAATTTATTTTCAATTGTTTGATAATAAATTCATCATTTGATATTATTATATATTTGTGGCTATTATTATTATGATTGTATCTTTTGCGTTTTACTTTAAACGCGGTTTTAAAAGTGTGAGTTTTTTATTTTTTATTTTAGTTTGCATAATGTGTTTATTTTAGCACATTTCCATACTTATTATTAAGTTTAATTAGAGATTGTAGAGATTTGTAGATTTTTTTCTTACTTCATTGTAACTACGCTGCTGGGTGGATTGCAACACCTTGAAAAAATAAGAAGTAGCTCGTGCACTGCAAAAGTCTGCCCACTCCTGGTGTTAATGATGTTCAATTTAAAACAAAGTTCACATAAACATACGAAACAAAACATTTTCAGAATTTTTTTCCTGCATAGGTAAAACAAAACTGCAAGTCTTAGAAACAATAGCCATCGAACAAGTATTATGGTAATTAACAGTGCAAATGTCAATGAATTTTAAATATTTAATTTTTTTGCATTCTTATTAAACTTTAAGCGATTTTTTAAATAAATTAAAATATGCTTTAAAAATCTGATTTTAGAGAATTTAATAAGAAGTATAAAATTTAATTCAGATGAACGATAATTTTTAATTTCATAAAAAATTTCGAATGGTTGCATAGTTTCAGCTCTGAAAATACAATATTCAAATAATACCTAGACCAGGGGTGTCACACTCGCTGCCCAAAACGAACATTTTTGCAGCCCGGCCAGTATATTGGGATACACTAATATATAATAAAGTATCAAAATTTCTCCCGAAGTAGGAAAGATAGTAGCAAAGACGAGATATCAAGAGTCAGAACACAAACATTAAATTTTTCATGTTCTTTTTTTTAATATATATTTATTATAAAGTATTATTCGCGAAATAAACGTACATTTCTATGAATATTGATTTTTTTTGCGGCCCACCTAAAGTTAAACCTTGTTTTGTTTGGCCCAACTTAGCCTTTGAGTTTGACATCCCTGATTAGACTATCTTAAAGTTGATATTTCTATATATACGCTTACATGTTTCCTTAGATATGATAAAAAGCTTTATATCAACCAACCAGGGTTACTTTCTTTTAAAAAAACTCGTACAGAGTTAGCATAAATGATTCATTAATTTTAGAATGATTATATTTTCAAAAGTATTACTCATACAAATTTGTAAAATATAAGAAAAGAACCACAAGCTTCCTAAGTTTCTACCCCTTCTACAAATGTTCAATATGAGCCCCTCTGGTGATACGACACACGTTCAGACAATAATCGAGCTCATTCCGTACATTTTGTAGCATAGTCCAGTCAATTGTCAGCACTACACATCACTGATGTTTTCTTTAAGTTCGAATAAGGATTAGTGATAGTGAGGGTACGTAAACAAGAATGTCATAGGGAGAAATCGCAAGGTGTTAAATTAGGGGATTAGGGAGGGCATTGGATCAAATCTAGGTCATTCTCACCAATGCACCCAATCGAGCAATGCAGAGTGAGTAAGTGAAAATTAACGTCGCACTGTTCAGCTACTGGAGAGCTTTTGGCGACGGACCTCGTCATTTTGAACCATGGTCAAGTGACGAGGACAAAACCTGAGCTGGCTCCCGCTTCTCCTAACTTCCACACCACACCAACGGGAGAACTATGGAGCTTTGACATATTTAACGTGCATCAACCTCCCCTGCACAATGGGTCTTCAGTGGCACTAGGCTCGAACTCATGACACGCCGGCCACGAGTCCATTATCTTGACCACCAGGTTACTGTGTCCCCTCGAGTGAGTGAGTGAGTGAAGATTAACGTCGCACTGTTTAGCAACACGAGGGGCTTTGGCGACAGACCTCGGAATTTTGAACCATGGTCAAGTGACGAGGACGACACCTGAGCTGGCACTCACCTCTCCTACCACACCTCACCAAAGGGAGGACGTTTGAGCTCTCGACAGATTTAACGTGCATCGCTCCCTTACACGGCGGTTTTTCAGTGGTACTGGACTCGAACTCATGACACGCCAGCCATGATCCGATACCTTGACCACTTGGCTACGGCGGCCACTCTTGTCCATTCGAACCCGTGTGTGACTCTACAACACTGATTCGTTTATGCAATTATGACTTGAAAATAAACCAATTGCACAACCCATCATGAATGTGGAGTTGGCAGACTAATTCATTAAGTATCACACACATATAACGCTGAATACAAACATGATTCTTATAATTCCTCTTTCAAGTGCAGGTTTTTCATGATTACTAGCAAAATAGAAATCTCCTTTTATTTTTTTTCTCTATTCTTCAATAATAAAACTCAATTTTTATAATGTATTAATACGACTCTGAAGTATGATAATGGATGGTGAAGCCGAGTGGTTGTGGTGGTGTACTAGTGGTCAGGATTTCTTTTGTCCAAACGAGGTTTCAAATCCTGGTTCTACTAAAGATCCACTGGGTAGAGAACTGATGTTCTTTAAATCTGTCGAGGTTCAAAGTGCTCACGATGGCGTGGTGTGAAAGTTTGGAGAGTGGGACATTAACTCAGAGGTTGCAATCGTCACTTGACAGAGGTCATTCGCCAATTTCAGGATCGCATTTAATGTGCTGAAATGCCCTTTCCAGCACACTTAGAATGAATCTCCACGAATTTATTTTCCTGATTTTAATTTTTTATACATATTTTGTTCTGTAAAATTTATTCAATTAGTAACTTTTATCGCTCTAAAGGTGCTTCTGCCCATTCTGTGGCCGTGGTAGCCTACTGATCAAGGCCACGGAAAGCTGAAGAGTAGTAGCACGGTGCCGCTGAAGACCGCCTTACACGTTAAATCAGTCGAGGCTCAAACGGCCTCCTGTTCGTGTGGTGTGGAAAAGGGGTTCCAGCTGATGTCGTCCTTGTCACCTAACCGAGGTTCAAAATGACTAGGTCTGTGTCGCCAATAGCCCTCGTGCATCTTTTAACTCACTCTCTGCCTATTGCATTTATTTTTGAACCGAATATATTTCGAGAAATGATTTTCACAGTAATAAATTTCTTATTAACTTGCATTTTTCAATTTCTACTATTAGTTCACACTCTCCCTATATATATCTTGTTCAAATTTTCAATCTTTAATAAAATACTTTTTATTTATCCACTCAAGTTCAAGTACATATTTTTAAACTTGTAGTGGAGGACACTTGATGTTAATAGAGTTTTTTCAAATATTAATTCATTCATTAAAAATAATTAATGAATTAATAGTAACAAAAATAAATCACAGTCCAATACCATATATAAAAAGGAAAATCACTCGTTGGGTCTCTGTAGCATACTGGATAGTGCGTTGCACTGCTAATCCAAAGGTCGTAGATTCGAATCCTACCTAGGATGGTCTAATTTCTGAGAACGTGATTTATGAATGAATAAATGGTAACAAACAAAGATAATAGTACAAAACTGCATACATAGAAAGGAAGATTGCAAGGAAAATCGCTTTCTATTTTGCCACGTAATATTCTGAATCCGTCACGTATATAAATATATTTATGTTCATTGTAATTATTTAATAAAAAGTAACTAAAATAAAATTACTCTTTGTTGACCTAAGTAGGATTTGACTTTTAAAAATGTAAAAAAATTTACATGTCGTTTTTAAATTTACGCAACAAATTTTATTTAAATTATATTGTTACCTGTAAAAACAAAAATTCATTACAAAAAATTCGATTTTGTAGGATACTTCAATCGTTGGATTTTTTAATCTCCTAAGAAACCACACAATGTTATTCGTTTGCAAGGAAACCCAACCCATTGAACGCCGCCAAAACTCGTTTATGCGATTATAGCTTCAAAACAAATCAATTATTATAGAGAAATGGACTGCTCCACATTGAAGTTGATTGCCTGACTTTTGCTTCCCTATAATGTCCCCAACAGAAAAGATCAGGAATAAATTCCAAGACATAAGGACTTTTCTCCTAATCGAATTGACTGTAGACTCAATGTCTCGGGATAAGTAATTGTTCCGCTACAAACCTGAGCTAATCGTTAAGAGTCCTGGAAAATGGCGACTAATGATAGTTTGGGGGGGGTTATTGGACGTAAAATGAGTCACCACTCAGTCGCTGGAAATGCTAATGATTCGCTCTCTTTTGGAGGATATTGCGCAAGAAAGGGTATTTCCGTCTGGCTTTCCCAAAAAACATTTATACGATATTGATTAGAAAAACTGTACGCTTTTTTCCTGTCCAGACGTCATTCGGAATCGGTTGGAAGTGGGAGATGACAGTTTTAACGTTCAAAAGTTATGGTTGGTTAATAAAAATCGGTAGATGGAGTACTGCTATCAAAACTATTACGTTGCCATAGAAACAATGTTTATTTAAAGTCTAATTATGTGTATTTTAGATGAAAATAATGCAATGTCAATATTTCAAAGTTTAATATAACATGCTTATATTTGTTTTAGTAAAATATTTTCTCTGCAAAAAAATTTATTATTTTTATTTTAAGTTATTTTACAATATAAAGCATTTAAAAAATATTATTTGCCTTAATTAACATTTTTAATTTTCTTTTTGCTTCAACATCATCTTCAATTGTTTGCAAGAAAGTTTCTCTCAATAATGGAAACGTATTTGATAAATATCGGTATAATTTTAGATAGAGAAAGATAGAAAACATTATTTGAAAACCCTTTTGCATTCCAAAAAGCCTTAGTGCTTAAAGTTTTCATCCAAAATAAATAATCCAATTTTCCAATGTAATAGTTGGTTGCCCCTAAAATACAGATAATTCTTCATACATAAAATCTGTTCTTTGGAAATTAATGAAAATCATAGTGAATGTGAGTGCCGTATATATCTATTCACCGTTTATCTCATTCATTTTTGAAACTTTATAGCTATGCATTACACATGTTTCATTATATTTTGGAATCAACTCTTAAACTAAGATGCTAGAACACTGAAGCTAGAAATATAATCTTCATGCGAACAAGAACCCCTCTAAAAATAACACGTAAAAACCCCCTCAATCAACGGGTTCCTTAGAGATTATTCGGTCTGGACGGATTTGAATTTCCCGAAGGACTCTTCAGACTCTTCAATAACCGCATCTTGCCTTACTACGAATTCGAATTGCTGTCTGGTTGTCCCAAAAGCAAGAACTAAAGCCACCCAACCGTCGTGGCGGCATTCCTTAAAGGAATAAACGACGAAAAGAAAAAGATCTTTGAAACGTAATAAGTTCAATAGCTAGCAGACATCCTTGAGATAGTAAAACCGGAACGCATTATGTCCCGCTACTCTTTATTTATTTTTATTTTTTTTTAGTTTGGATTATAGAAAGAGAAAAAAATCAGCTCTTTTGTGCTTCTAGTATCATTTCCTTTCATTTCTAAGCTAAAAAATTACAAAATAGCATGAAAAAAATCCTATTAAAAGGGTTGAAAAATTTGATTCGGTTTATTATTATTTTTCTTTAAAAATATTTAGCTATCTTTTTTTTTTTAACTTCTTTAAGAGAAAAAAAAACTATACAGTCTATTTTGCCGGAAGCCAATCTTTATAATAAACGACTCAAAAAACTAAGATACCCATTAATTTTCTTCAACCGTTCCTCGGTCAAGATACTTGACCTTTCTCATACATCAGTGGTAAAAAATTTTTCTTTTCATTTCTCAAATTTTTGGATTAAAGTATAGTTTAGGGGCGAAGGCTTAGTTTTCTTTCAACAAACGGACTCTCCTCCTTTTTCCTTCGAATTGAAGCTCCTCTGTAGATTACACTTCCGAAAATCTTGCTGTTGAATAAAACATGACTGTATCTTTAATCCCATGGTTTTCAGTAGTGTCGGGTTTTTCGGAGTGTTGGAATTTAATACCTGAATTTATTTCCTCTGTCAGAGAAGCACACTCTGCTTACAAGCAATGCTTATACATCAGGTACTTAGGACATGAACGAAGCCCAAAAAAGCAAATTGCTTCCTCCCTCCACAAGAGCCGGAGTAAAATAAAAACACTATCGCCGTTATATAGAGAGACAAGTTTATTTTGGAGATTAAAATGTTTACTTTTAAATTTTTACATAATTTTTAGAATTCAGTGAACTACTTCGAGTGTGTGTCTTGTGTGCTTAAGGAAAATATGTCGAGGATCAAATTCGCAATTTCGAGGTATAGCTCTTTTTGTTTCGATTAATTTTTGTAAAAGTGTTGGGGAAATTGAAAATTTTAAAACTTCAGTCTGTTTTCTTCATTTTTATGGAGACATGGTATGATTTATGAAAAAATCTTTGTTTTTGTGGTTTTTATAATTTTTTTAACTGCATCTTACATATACAGAGTGTTTTTTTCCAGGTATAGAAGTTTAAGTTGGCATTACTTTCCAAGATGGCAACCGATTTAACAGCTGTCAAGTGATTTATTCTCAGTTTGGTTTAGCAATTCATCATGAATAGACTCACGCCTGAACAACGCTTTCAAATTGTGCAATTTTATTTCGAAAATAATGGTCGATTTTCATAAGCGAATTTCGTTTAGCGATGAAGCGCACTTCTGGTTGAATGGCTACGTCAACAAACAAAACTGCCGCATTTGGAGTGAAGCTAATCCACAAGTGTATATCGAAACACCGTTACATCCAGAAAAACTGACTGTTTGGTGCGCTTTATGGGCTGGTGGAATCCTTCTTCAAAAACGATGAAGGCCACAACTTTACAGTCAATGGTGATCGGTATAGAGCCATGATTACTAACTTTTTCATTCCTGAATTGAACAATCATGATGTCCAGGAGCTGTGGTTCCAACAAGACGGCGCAACATGTCACACAGCTCGTGCCACAATCGATTTATTGAAAGACACGTTTGGTGACCGCCTAATTTCACGTTTTGGACCTGTGAATTGGCCTCCAAGATCTTGTGATTTAACACCGCTAGACTATTTTCTGTGGGGCTATGTAAAGTCATTGGTCCATGCGGATAAGCCAGAAACGCTTGACCATTTGGAAGACAACATTCACCGTGTTATTGCCGATATACGGCCACAAATGTTGGAAAAAGCCATCGAAAATTGGACGGCCAGATTGGACTACATCCGAGCCAGCCGTGGCAGTTCTATGCCAGAAATCATATTTAAAATGTAATGCCACAAGATTATCTTTCGAATAAAAAAAATTCTTGTCAATCGAATAATACATCTACATCGTTGTTTTATTGCAGTTTAAAGTTCTATACCTCTCAAAAAACACCCTTTATGTATTACATAGAACAGTTTTTGTGTTTAAAATACTACAAAAAGCTAATCATTTAATTGTTTATAGAGAAATTTGAAAATTTATGAAGAGATTTTAAGGTATCCGAGACTACGTTCGGAACCGTGATCTTACAAAAACGTATCAATGGATAATATTTATAATATTTAATGTCACTTTGATTAGAAAATGTATATAAAATTGTTTTAAAAATAGTATTAGAATAAAAAATTATTTAAGTAGAATATTTTGACAAAAAAATGAACATAGAAGGACAAATTTCCAAAATATTCTCATTCTGTGAAAAATGCTTCTATGATAATAATATGATGCCTGTATATAGCTAAGACCTCTGTACAGAGACTGAACTAGAATTTTATAAATATATAACTTAGAAGTGGGTTTATCCATGTTTTACGACAACAGAGGGGAGAAATTTTAAGGAAAGAAAACCGACGATAATTATTTCAATTGGTGATAACTCTGAAAATAATGCGAAATTTTCAAAAGTCCTAGTTGAGACTCTGGAGAAGTCTTTACTTTATCTAAGCAAAATATTATTATTATAGAATCATTTTGTATAAAAGGAGAACGTTTTGAAAAAAGATTATTCTAAGTTAATTTTTTGCCAAATTATTGTATTTAAATAATTTTTTGTCATAATGTCCTTAAAGCAACTTTATACATGTATTCTAATCTAAGTGACACTAAATATCATGGAAATTATCTATTTATGCGCAAAATGCTACTCCTACAACAATAATTGACATACACACATGAAATTTGATTTACAGATACGTCAAACCATGTATAACAAAAGTTGGTATGGATTTTTACTAAGATAATTAATATTTGTAAAATGATATTTTTTATGAATGCAATTGAAAGCTCTTTAAAAAATGTATAAATTCTTAATTCAACTTTGCATTGATATAATATTGTTGTATTGAGTATATTGCTTTGATTTTAAAATGTATGCAAACTTTTGTGGAATGTACTAAAAGCAGCAAGTAGAAAAATATCAAAGCATTTTCGGCACAACAGAAGAAAAAAGCCTTAGCGATTTAAATGAAGACAAACTTGTTAATTTTTCTTTCAGAGATAAATCAGTTAAAATTTTTTATTTGCCATTAGGATGTG